ATATTAGGGCACCTGGGTGGCTCAGTTGATTTAGTGTCTGACTTTTGATTTTGGCTCAGGTCATAATCTCACAGTTTGTGAGATCAAGCCCCATGTCGGGCTGTGTGCTGACAGTACGGAGCCTGCTTAGGATTCTCTCTGTGTCTCTCTCCCTCTCTCTCTGCCCCTCCCTGCCCCTCTCTCTCTCAAAATAAATAAATAAACTTAAATTTTTAAAAAATAATAAAAGTGCTTAGGTATTAAGTATCACTGGCATTGACAACAACCAAGAAACAGATTAGTTTTGTGCCTTGATTATCTGACATAAGGCTTAAAAATTCACATGCAGATGCAGAAATTTTCCCTGGAATCTATTTCAAAAGTGTGTTTATAAAAATATTAGTAGTTTTTTGTGTTAATTTTCACAATAAATGAAATTGGTATTCTTTACTTAGTTTTGCAGATGTAGAGACAGAAATCGAGAGAGGTTAAATTAAGTTGGTAAAAGGCACACTCCTGACAGTGAGGATGCTCAAATGGAAGCCCTCGTCGACTTGAGACAAAGCCAGCACCCAAACTACTACACTGATGTGTGTATGAAAGTGACAGCCAGTTTTACAAAAGACAGAGATCATATTTCAACCAGAGCAGCTATTAGGGAAAAGGGAATGATAATATGAAGCTGTTACTCGTGAAACAGGGGGAAGATGGAGGGAAAGGAGAAACTGAGAACATTTAATGGATTGGATTTTCCATTTTGCTCTCCAGTAGCAAGACTCAATGTAGAGATGGAATCTGAAGAATCAAATGATCCTAACATCAAGTCTAAAAACTCTAACCCTAACCCTATCTCAATATCTCTAGCTGTTTCAGTAACCTAATAGGCATGAAATCTTCACCCTTTCTGCCTAAGAACCACATGCTGAGCAGGCTTCCCGGAGCATCAGGGACTTGCTACTTTTTCTTCTTAGCAGCCCTGGCCCAGACCCCTCAGGAGCTCCCCACCCCACCCACCCACCTCCCAAGTCTCTCAGAGAATTGCCCATAAGCCCCAGACACCCATGATGGTTTTGGAAGCTCCAGGCCCTCCTCAAAGCTGAGTTTCAGCTGGTGCCAGGAACCCAGAGGTGTAGCTCCAAATCTGGACTGACTGCAGTCCTAAATCTCCTCAGAGGATGAGGGCCTGAAGCCATGTGGGAATCTTGTGAGAAAAATGGGAGCTCCATCCTGAAACCGATCTCATGAAATAGTTGACATCATCTGACCATGACAGTTATTCACACTCCAGCCCAGTAACTTCAGAACTTACAGATGAAGTAAAATAATTGGTTTAGAATGATTAAATCCTCACTGGACAGAACCATTACATACACATATACTAAGCAATGGGGTCTTTTTAAAACCTCAACTTTATCCTTTGTTTCTTCTGAATTTAGAATTTAGAATAACAATACATGCTCGATGATAAAAACTCTTACAATCCAGATGTTTACATAGCAAAAGTAAAAGATTCTAAGTGTAAACGATTATATCTTTTTCCAGACCTTTATGGATCGTTAGACACATATCCTCCCTCCCCAAGTGGGATTATCTTCTACGTACTATTCTCCAATTTCCCTGCTTTTTGTTTTCCTTTAGGCATAATCTCATGTCAAATAATAGAGATCTACCTCATATTTTAAAATCTCCTGCAAGGGGCGCCTGGGTGGCTCAGTCAGTCGGTTAAGCCTCCGACTTCAGCTCAGGTCACGATCTCACGGTCCGTGAGTACGAGCCCCGCGTCAGGCTCTGGGCTGATGGCTCAGAGCCTGGAGCCTGCTTCCGATTCTGTGTCTCCCTCTCTCTCTGCCCCTCCCCCGTTCATGCTCTGTCTCTCTCTGTCTCAAAAATAAATAAACGTTAAAAAAAAAAAAATTTAAAATCTCCTGCAAAATATTCCATGTTAACTACACACAATCCTTACTGATGGACATGCAGGTTGTTTCCAATTCTTTTCTACTCTAGATAATTCTAGATTAACTATCTTTCCCCAGTTGTGCAGTGGGTCTCAACATAATTCCAATTCTCTTTACTTGGCAAATTGGAAAATACTCTTAACTGGCCAGCTAAGAAATGTGTGGAGGCATTTCATATTTCTCTTCTTCACCTTGCAGACTCTTCTGATCTGTGTGCCCTGTGCATCCTTCACCATGTGCCCATCAGCCTGCACTGGCTGCTTTATATCAGGGCCCGGTTACATTTGTTTTGCAGAATAATTCCCAGGCTTTGTCAGCTTTGCTTTCCTAAGACATTCTCTGCTCCATTCCCTCTTGCAGCTTTCTTCTTATGCAAATGTGAACCCTGTCACTGAGGCCTCCCAAAGGCTTCAGGGAAGCTGTCTGAACTCCAATTCCTGGGCCTCTGGCATCTGGAAGCCTTCCTCTCATTTCTGAGTCTTCCACTTATTTCTGCCTCTTTTAGGACTCCAGGCAGACTTCTCATGCCTCCCTGTCACCAAACCTAGGCATGAAGCTCCATCCTATCTCCTTCAGAAACGGTCCACTGTGAGTCAGTATTTCACTGAATTTTGGCAGTGGAACAGTGGAAAGAGTCACATTGAGTGCAGTAAATCCATCCATCACTTCTGCCTTTGGCACCTCTTATGCTGTCCCACCCTCTGGTCCCCAGAGTGAGAGCCTCTCTGTCACAAGAAGTCCTCAAGAGGCATAAAGCCTTATTCTACAGCCCATCAGGTCAACCTGCCTTCATCGGCCCCATTCCCCAACTCTGTTGAATTAAAAGTCCTCCATCTTGTCATGGAAAAATGATGTGTCTCTACCCCAGAAGCCTGTAGCTCCAAGTCTGTGTCTTACCAGCTGCTTCTGTGGTTGCCTTCACCTTGGGTATGTGAGGCCTAGAGCTCTATGCATCCTTTGGGCAGGAAGTGGAACTCCCAGATTTGTTCACTGTTTAGAAGAACTGCCTTGGAAATGAAATGGAATGGAATGGAATGGAATCAAATGGAATGAAATGAAATGAATTGAATTGAAATAAAATAAAATAATAAAAGAAAATAAATTAAAGAAAATAAAAGAAATAAAATAAAATAATTGCTTTGGGCAGCAATACAAACAGGGTATCTCTTCCTGGGCAACCCTAGTGGCAGTAGTAATTCAGGACTTGTCTGTTTCTTCATTTCACGTCCACTGTCCTATGATCCAGCCTCCTCCAACCTTGTGCCCTGCAGCCAGGTGTAGTTTGTGCTGGTTTCACCCATGTAGGAGTTAGCATGAGAACTTAAAGACACATCGTGCCAGAAAATAAATTGAGACACATAACTCGGGAATGACTCTGGACTTGTCCAAGACACTAGGAAATCTCTTCATTCAAGAGAATTCAGAAAGGTGAATTATGGAGACATTCTCTTGAAAAGTCTTCTTTAGCAACATTTTATTAATACTAAATAGGTGGACAGTCATGGTAGTTTTGTTGTGTGTTCAGTTTTTTAAATGTTGTTTCCTGAGCAGTGTACACACAGAAGCCCTTCTCCTTCGTTTCCTCTCCCCACATCCCTGCTGCCCTTTGTTGAGAGTAGACCTTCCTGAGTTATCCCATTTACTTTTTCTAACAATCTTATGACATGAGGTATTATTAACTTCCCCCTAAAAATGAAAAAACTGAGTCTTGAGGAAGATTTATAAAGTCGCACAGCCAGGAAAGAGTGGAGTCAAGATTCAAACCAAGCTCAGAATGACTCCAAAGCTGTGCCCTTCTTTATATAATGGACTGTCATTGAGACTGGAACATTCTGATTCAGTTCCCATTCTTACGTTCCAAGGTCCATTGAAAAGAGTTTTCCAATCTAGTAGTAATTTCTAAAACTCAGGAAAACAACATAATTAACTTAAAAATAGGTTTTAAAAGTCTTGAATGTTTGCACTTGAGAAATCTCATAGTAATTAGAGCAGGTGGAAGACAAGAAGAGTTTTTAGTGTGTTTTAAATGGAATTTGAGTGAATTTTCAAGGACTTTGGAGGCCAAACACAAAGCTCTTTTTATTTCATTTAATTAAATTTTTTTTTATTTTTTACATTGTTTTTAATAGTTTTGTGGAATAAAAACAATCATAAGAAAAGTATATAACATGTATATATACAATGCTGGTTAAAAATAAAAAATTACCAGTACCTATATTCCTTCCTATCATGCAAGGCTCACTCCTTGTTATGTCCACACTTCTGTAGTATGGACACATTTCTCTTTTCTTGATAGTATCAGGACTATTTTCTACTCATTAGCTTTGATTAGAATCATTCTAGTGATTCATGAAAGAACAAATAGAGAAAAACAATTCCTGTGACAATAAGACAAGAACTGGAAGAAAAGGAAAGAGGAGATGATTAAAGAGGATGGATGGATGGATGGATATTTGTGAGAAAGCTGTTTCCTGAGGTCGAATGAATGTATGTAAAAAGGGAGTATATACTTTGGAAAGAAGAAAGGATATGCTGGCAGAGAGGTAAGTTAGACAGAGTCCTCAAACTCTAGAGCTATTGGCACTATCAGTTGTGGATTCAGTTGCTGTCTAGAGCACGTGAGGAAGAGAGAGGCAGGAGGAGGGGCAGCCTGAGTGTGAGGGGAAAAGGGCACTGTCAACCATTTAGTTAGTCATCATTTGGGACACATCCCCTAGACTGAATGTCCAAGAGTATGAATCTCATATTCTATTCTACATAGAAGGATCAATGCCCAGTATCATTTTATTGCTGGCATTGTGGGGGTTGTTTGTTAGTTTCTTTTTTTACCATGACACATAAAGTGCCATAAACACTGAGCAAGTGTTGAAGCAATGAGACCAAGAATTGAAAATACGATAGTAGGAAACTGAGTAGTATCTTAGAAGAAGGAGAAGAAAAGGTACTGCAAGTAATTTAGTGTAGTCGGGAAAGAATAAAAGGGACTTATAATTAAGTTTTATCATAAAATGCATTTATTTAGTTTATGACTATAGTTTACATCACTCTTTTTTTTTTTTCTTCCAGGAGCCTTGCAAACAACAATCTCCAGACACTCCCAAAAGATATTTTCAAAGGCTTGGATTCTTTAACGAATGTGTAAGAGGACCTAAGAAATCACTTATTAATTAATTCGCAGTTGTTAACAAAGAAGCCTGGTATTGAGGATTAGAATTCGCAACTGGCTTTAAAATTAAGTTAAAATTTTAAAATTTAAATTTTAAATTGGCTTAAATTTTAAATTTACTTGAACTAATGTTGGAGCCTTCTATGGTATTTCCCACTGGAAATTCTGAATATATGGTGCCCAGGCATTCCTTTGACAAAGTGTGTGTCCTCTGGGAGGTAGTGCTGATAAGGGACTTTGAGGGTGTGGGAAGAGGAGGCCCAGAGTGAAGTTTCAAGATGCCTTTTTTCACATGAGTTCCAGGAAATGGGGCTACAAAGGAAAAACATAAAGGAGTCTGGGAAACTGACCGAGTACAGATGAAAGGTTACACCCATGGGTTGGTCAATCAACAGAGAAATGGAACAGGAAGTGGGGGAAGGGAGGCAAGTTTGCCTTTTCTCTAGTTAGACTGAACAACAACTCTAGGCTTAATCCCCAGGAATTTGGCTTAAGCCCCAGGAAGGGAATGAACTTAATTATTTTTGACCCTTTTTCAAACAAAAGAGCTTTCAAACTTTGACTTTTAAGCTTCAGAGTGAAAGATCTTTGTAAGGAATTTGTATATTTTGCTGTAAGCAAAGCAAGTAATATACGCCTAATCCTCTCAAAAGCAATTTAGCTTCATTAAGTACTTTCCAGACATTAGAAGGGTATTTAAATGTCATAAGATAGATACAGGAACAAATGAAAGAATATATGAAACCAAATGATCTCTTCTTATCAATTCAGGTACTTTGCTATAGAATATACATTCAAAACAAATTTTCTCCAATGACAAAAGATCTAAGTCAAGTATTTTCTCCTAAACCTAGTATTTAACTTCAAATCAGTAAGCTAATGAAAAACTTTCTTTGTTCCTTGTGGTATTTCCCCAGCCCCTCCTCAATGCCTATTACCCCAATTCCTGAATGATGGTTTATTTCCAAGAGAGTGCCAGAATCAGGACACTTCCAAGAGAGTCTCGGACAGACCACAGTTATCCATTCTGGTTTACAATCACCCAGAAAAACTGATACTCATTATTCTGGGTCAGAGTATTCTTGGGAGATGAAGTCAGTCTTGGGAATGTCTTAGAGGTTAGATGATATGCTATGACAGACTTGGGGATACAGCTTATTTGGGCACCATCCTCTGGCCCATCCTGGTGTCAGCCAATACTGCACACTAGAAACAAAACAAAACAAAACAAAAACCCAAAAAACAAACAACAACAAAAAAACCCCACTTGAAATTGGCTCAACCTCTATGGAAATCCCATAATGGATTTGGCCTCTTGGGCCTACTCTGAGATGCCCAAATCAAGAATTATTTAAGAAGTACAAGGATCCTTGCCAAGTTGTCTTTTAGTGGATTTCTTGGTTTTCTTGAATGTATCCCTCCAAAAGCATTTTTACATGCTTCAACATTTAAAAATTACTCATGTGCTGTGTGAACACTAGGCAATACCTATCTTAGGTTTTGTGTGTGACCAAGAAGGGTTTTAGGAAGGACCTGGAATTTCCAAACAAAAGCAATGCAAATAAACAGAAAACTTGGTGAGTTGGGATCATATGTGGAAATTTGAACTACCCATGCTGTATAGTTTATTACAGACATGAGTTGTTGTATGTCTGAGTTAACTCTGCTGTGTCGAAGTCATTTCCTATTAAAATTCAATTTGTAGACCATGGAGTAGGATCAGAATGAATTACATCTGTGAGGAAGAAGAAAAGCAAATAGCTCCCTTGATTTAATTAAATATGATATAATAAGCACTGTATTCTATCCTCTAGACCTGCATTGTCCAATATGGTAGCCACACACGTGGTCACCAAACAGCATTCATAGAGTAACTGAGGAACAAAACTTTAAATTTTACTTAATTACAAAAATTTTTTTTAATGTTTATTTATTTTTGAAGGAGAGAGACACACAGTGTGAGTGGGGTAGGGGCAGAGAGAGAGGAGACACAAAATCTGAAGCAGGGTCCAGGCTCTGAGCTGTCAGCATAGAGCCTGAAGCAGGGCTAGAACGCACGAACCGCGAAATCATGATCTGAGCTGAAGCCGGACGCTTAACCAACAGCCACCCAGGCGCCCCTAAATTTTACTTAATTTTTTAAAAATTAAGCCAAAAACTAAATTTAAATGAGTTCAATTATTGGAAAATGTAATTATGTTTGGAACAACTTGGATGTGTGAAACTATTGTTTCCAGCTATAAATTTTATGAAATCTAAATCCATATCACACACTTCTGATGAAAATTTAGCATCCAAATTGAGATATACTCTAAGTGTAAAACACACTAGACTCCAAAGACTTACTATTTTTTAAAAATGTAAACTATCTCATTAATAATGTTTGTATTGACTACACATCTAAATAATAATATTTTGTGTGAAATACTAAGCAAAATATCATTTTAAAATAAATAAAATATATTGTTAAAATTAATTTCACCTATTTCCTGTTACCTTTTTAATGTGTTTATAGAAAATTTTAAATTATGTATAGAGTCCACACTATATTTCTATGGACACACAGCTCTAGACAGAGCTGCCTTTGATCCAAGAGGGAATAACTTCTGAGGTTCCATTGACTGGGTAGCAATGAAGGGTACACTGTGGGAACTCTCTGAACTCAAAGTGAATTGTCAATCAGGTTTAAGGTAGATTATGGGGCACGATGTAAAGCCAGGTAAAGGCATTTTGCATGTGTTAATTACTGAAGTAAAGTCATGCCTTTGGAGGTAGGACCCTCATACAGCAAAATCAGCTGAAATTTGTCTTTCAGGGACCTGAGAGGGAATTCATTTAATTGTGACTGTAAACTGAAGTGGCTGGTGGAATGGCTAGGCCACACCAATGCAACTGTTGAAGACATCTACTGCGAAGGCCCCCCAGAATACAAGAAACGCAAAATCAATAGTCTCTCCCCAAAGGATTTTGATTGCATCATTACAGGTAATGGATTCCAAATGATTCCACCTCATAAAGTTAAAATAAGGGCTACATTTTATGTGTGTGCAGGAATTGATATTTTTTATATCTTTAAAAACTAACTGACCGATTTAATTTTTAAAATACTATAAAGCATTAAAACTTTGTGTGTTTAAAAGCAAAGTAAAATTATCATTTTACTATTTCTCTTAAATAAATGTATTTCTTATGGACATTTGAGATCTAGCCAAGGAACAAGGCATTAGCACAGTTATTCATCATCATTTCCTGTTTTTGCAGAATTTGCAAAGTCTCAAGACCTGCCTTATCAATCACTGTCCATAGATACTTTTTCTTATATGAACGATGAGTATGTGGTCATTGCTCAGCCTTTTACTGGAAAGTGCATTTTCCTTGAATGGGACCATGTAGAAAAGACCTTCCGGAATTATGACAACATTACAGGTATGAAAAGCCTGATTGTATTTTGAATAGAAAGTTAAGCACATTGAACCAAGGGGAACAGAAAAAGACAAGTGGTATAGGGGGATGCTTTGGGCAGGCTTAGAGTCATTTAAACCCCAACTGTACCATTTACTAAGTGACTTGGGGTTGTTCCCTAAACCTTAATTTCCTGACTTGGAAATGGTAATAATAATACCCAACTCACAGGGTTGTTGTTAAGATAATGCAATCATAAGATAATGTGATCACATATTCAAGGAACTTAGCACAGAACCTAGCCTAGTAAACACACAATAAAAGGTGGATTATTTTTCCAGGAAAAATATTGGACTAGGAATCATGAGGTTTAATCCAGGTTCTGCCACAAACTAGCTGGGTGAACCACTCACCCTCACTGGGCCCTCCCTTTTTCTTAACTATAAAATAAGGATGTTATTTTAGATCATTGAATCTCAAGCTTTGTTGCACAAACATGACACCTACAAAATGTTAATGTACTCCTAGTGACAGAAAGGGTTTTTGGTCCAATATATCTGTGAGCTATATCTCCCTCTTAGAGATTCATAATACACGGTTAAGACCCTGAGAAGTCTGGCAGTAAGGCAGGCTCTTTAAAGTGTTTTATGCATTTAATTTCACGTTGGAAACCACCTTTTTTCCCTGAAAACTTTTACTTAGGTGCCCTCTTAAGTTTTGTTCTCATTTCAACAACTTTACAATTTTTAAATAAGTGAGAATATGGGGCCCCTTCTGAAATATTTCCGTTAGCTTTAGCTTCAGCTTCTAACGTATTTAAATCTTAAACTTTTCCATAAACTTCTCCCACCTTTTTGGGTGGGAAGGGTCATAATTAGATATTGTGGGTGGCCACAAGCCCCATCGCTCATAGGATCAAGACAGGTCTGGGGCTGGCTTGAGACTGAGGTGCCCAGATGAAGGAATCTTCTTCAAACTGAAGTTGTCCCAGAAACCTCCTTCTTTCTCAAGGTGGAAGGTCATGCTTCCCTTTCTCCCCCAAACCCCTCAGTTTTCCCATGGGATATTGTGCAGCTTTGTGCAGTTTAGTTCAGGTTCTTCTTACCCGGAATAATTTATCATTATTCCAGATGAATCTTAAGATGAACACTTGAAAGAGAAATGAATCACACATTTGCAGACTTTCAGAGGCCATCATCTCATCTAGAATGACGAATATATGCCAAATATGCAGTTACTATGACTTCCCTTACCCCAGACAGATATCGCTAATCAATCATGGTGCTCTTGCTTACAGAGTGCAGACAGGGCAACAGAATCCTTCTCAACATAATTTTCCAGGAAGTTTTCCAATCAATCAGTTGATAACGGTACGTGGTTGATCTCTAGTGGACATCCCTGATCTGGTCCAAACTCTCATTGTATAGAAGAGAAAACTGAATTTTAGAGAAGTAAAGTGATTTTCCTGAAGTCATACAATCAGTTGAGCCCTTGAAAGGTCACAAATAGAATAATTTCACCTATTAGTACGGAGTTGATGCAGAATTTATTGCCTCAGAGCCTTTAAAGTTGCAGTTAGAAAAGGCGTGGGCCCAGATTTGCCCCACTCTCTTTGGATTTCTTAGAGCCAAGCTCCTTCTAGTCAACCAGAATTTACTGATCAAACTCTCATCAAACTCTTACCAAAAGGATACTGAGCTGGTCCACTGATCCCATATTGTTTTCTGAGATTTCCCAAAATAACTGTTAGGAGTATCACCCATGACTGTACCCCTCTTCCATTTTTCTCAAAGATTCCTCTTTCGTCTCTTCTCTCCTGCCACCAAAACTTCAGAAAAATTACAAGTGTCATCTTTTTCCTTTCTTAGGGGAAAATTATGTTACTTTTAGAGCAAGATTCAATTCACAATTAGAACAAACCAATTATAGTTAGAACCATGGGCTACCCAGATCACTGCTCAAGACTTTGTAGGATGATCTAGAAACTTGTGGGATCCTAGCCCAAGTTGGAAGCCCTGGAATAGCTCACCTCCTCCCAGCTTGGGTTAAAAGCATAGAGACTCTGGTAGACCTGGATTTGAATCCCAACTTTGCCTTCTCTTAGCAGCACTGAACCTCTCTGAGCTTCAATCTGCTCATCTGCAAAAGGGAGAATAATAATATTTATCTCTTAAGATTGTTGGGAATTTTTAATGAGATGATTTGGCAAAGCACATAGTTGGTGCTCAATAAATGGCAGTTTTCACTAGAATTACTATAACTCATAATATGTCAGGGAAAGCAATACTTTCTTTCTCTAAGAAGTGAGAGGAGGAAACTCAGGCTGTAGCCATATGTCCTGAATGTCTAGTGCAGGTTGGATGTGACATGACAACTCAGGTGTTGGTAACAAGGCCTCATGAGGCACAAGGGCACAGAACGTCAGGATCCTGCTGCCATTGGGTCTTAGAGATTGGCCTTGCCTGTTCAACCAAGGAAATCTCTTATTTCAGGCTGATTTTGGTGGAAGTTGTATGGCCTCAGCCTGCATGTTTACATGCTGCAAAAGAGGATGGCCATCCAACTAATCTCTCATTTGTCTTTTCCCAGGCACGTCCACTGTAGTGTGCAAGCCTATAGTCATTGAAACTCAGCTCTATGTTATTGTGGCCCAGCTGTTTGGCGGCTCTCACATCTATAAGCGAGACAGTTTTGCAAATAAATTTATAAAAATCCAGGATATTGAAATTCTCAAAATCCGAAAACCCAATGACATTGAAACATTCAAGATTGAAAACAACTGGTACTTTGTTGTTGCTGACAGTTCAAAAGCTGGTTTTACTACCATTTATAAATGGAATGGAAATGGATTCTACTCCCATCAATCCTTACATGCGTGGTACAGGGACACTGATGTGGAATATCTAGAAATAGCCAGAACACCTCAGACACTCAGAACGCCTCATTTAATCCTGTCTAGTAGTTCCCAGCGTCCTGTAATTTATCAGTGGAACAAAGCAACACAATTATTCACTAACCAAACTGACATCCCTAACATGGAGGATGTATATGCTGTTAAGCACTTCTCAGTGAAAGGTGACGTGTACATTTGCTTGACAAGATTCATTGGTGATTCCAAAGTAATGAAATGGGGAGGATCCTCATTTCAGGATATTCAGAGGATGCCATCACGAGGATCCATGGTGTTCCAGCCTCTTCAGATAAATAACTATCAATATGCAATTCTTGGAAGTGATTATTCCTTTACTCAAGTGTATAACTGGGATGCAGAAAAAGCCAAATTTGTGAAATTTCAGGAATTAAATGTTCAGGCACCGAGATCATTCACGCATGTGTCCATTAATAAGCGTAATTTTCTTTTTGCTTCCAGTTTTAAGGGAAATACACAGATTTACAAACATGTCATAGTTGACTTAAGCGCATGACACACCAAATTCTGTGGCTGCCATCAGAAACTTTCTACAGTACATGATCCGGATGAACTCAATGCATGATGACTCTTCTTATCACACTTGCAAATGAATGCCTTTCAAACATTGAGACTGCTAGAACCAAGCACTACCAGTATCTCCATCCTTAACTGTCCAGTCCAGTGGTGTGGGAAGTTACCTTTTATAAGACAAAATTGAATTGTGTAACTGTTCTTTGCAGTGAAGATGTGTAAATAAGTGTTTAATGGTATCTGTTACTCCAAAAAGAAATATTAATATGTACTTTTCCATTTATTTATTCATGTGTTCCAAAACAACTGCCAAATAAAATGTTTACATTTTCTTTCATATCTCAAAGGTAATTATTTACAATTATTTTATTCTTGGTGATGGATGCTGAGGAAATAGCTTTATACAATAGGGTTATATTTACATCAAGAACTTAGGGTGTGAATAGTAAGTGATGATGAAACACTGATATTGATTACCCAAGATATATGAACAGGTTTATCAGCTGATTTGGAACATTCAAGGGTGTTTCCAAAGGTCACGGCATTTAAGAACATTTTGTGGTGAAACAGCGATGAATTAAAAGCAGGGTAGAGAAATTTGCTTATTACAAGAGGACTGATTTAAAATAAAGAATCGTAAGACCCATCCTTTCCTATCTGATAGCTCTAGCTAAAAAAAAATTATTCAAAGAACCTATAGAAGAAACCAAACTCAAGAATCTGAATTTTAAAAACCCTATTTAGGGACTTTCTAAATGTCTGACTCTAGAATTATCTGAGAGCTGATATAGATTGGTAAACCTTACAGTACTTGCCTCAAATTTACCCAATATGATGGCCTCTTAATCTGATCAAGGATGCTTCACTTCTAGACATCAGTTTGGATGTTACTGACATGCCACAGAGTGTCCAGGAGGCTCATATTTGATTTTCTAAATTCTTGCTCCTGGATCACATGGTTTGTTAGCACCTAGCACAGTGCCTGTTATAGGGTAGGCTCTCAAAAACTGCTTTCGAAGATGCATGTGTGTCCTCCTGTTATAATACAATAATAAACTTCGTAAGTCCCTTTGATCTATTCGGTCCTATTTATTGACTACCTATTAAGAACGGGGTGTTGTTCCTGTGGTGCTGGGGAGGAGAATTGAGGAGGAATAGGGCATGGTCCTTGCCCTTTGGGGCCTTAGACTAACCGGAGGGTTAGGACACAGAAACCTACAGAGTAAGCCCTGAGTGCCAATCATCACCTGAATATTCTGATTATAAAGATCAAGGGAGTATCAAAGATGAGTTCCTAGAGGAAGTGGTCCTTGTTTGAAGTTAAAGGGGAGATATGGTTTCAAAAGGGGATCACGGCAGAGGAGCTGTTTCTGAAATGATTCCGTGTGAAAGAGCTTCCCCCAACTTATTGCTCCCCACACTCTTTTTCCAAATGAATGGGGAGCAGAGAGGGGTAGACATCAACCCCACTGCCAACACATATCTGGCAAACTTAATGGACCTAAGGTACACACAGTAGTTACACATTTTCCAGGAAGTGACACCTTGGGGCGTTCTGCACAGGAACCAGATTCCTTTGCCACATGGGGAAGATATTAACTGACATTAGAATTATGGGGGGACAAGAAGTCTTACCCACTCCCGATCTGTACACAGGGAGACAGGCCTTTGAATGTCTTATTTTTTTCAGTTCCCTTTTTCTATAAGTAGTGTATATACTGTTGAAGAACACCTACTTGGTACAGGCTGCGTTTAAGTCCCGCCTTGCCATGTGCTGGCTTTGTCCACAGGCAAGTTACTTAAGTTCTCTGAGCCTCAGTTTCTTCATCTGTAAAGGGATAATAATGCTTACTGCAAGGACAGTGGAAGGATGAAATGAGATAATGTGCACTTGGTGGACTGAATTTTCCAAATATGGTGACAAAATTTCCCATGCTACATGTTCTGTGAGAACCTTGCCCTCACCCCATCAAGAGGTGGTACCTAATTCCCTTATCATTAAATCTGGGCAGGCTTGTAATCAATAGAATGTGGTGGAAATGATGCAGTTTGAATTTTGGGCCTAGATCACAAAAACAAGGAAGCTTCTGTCTTGTGAACTGGGACAATCGTTTCTGGAGCCCTGAGCTGCCACCTGCAGGATCCTACTAGGCTGAGGCCACCATTCTGAGAAAGTCAAGGCTTTGATCAACATCTCTGGCTGAGGTCCCTCCTAACAGCCACATCAACCACCATCCTGTGAGCGAGGATGCCTCTGGGTGATTCAAGCCCCAAGCTGTTAAGTCACCACCAGCCATCCAGTCTTCCCAGCTGAGGCCCCAGACAAGCAGCTAAGACAAGGGACAAACCATCCGTATGGTACTGGATCCAAATTCCTCACCCACAGAATCTATGAGCATAATAAAATTGTTTATTTGAACATCTAAGTTTTGGGGTGATTTTTTTTATACTGCAGCAGTGATCAGAACAGCACGCTAAGTACTTAACACAGACCCAGCACAAGTCAGCACTTACCAAGTGCTAGTTAATGGGCTCCACACCCGGAATGTTGCGTGCTTCGGGGTCATGCTCTACCTTATTACCTTAATGTAACCCACGGTCGTTTCGTTTTTAAAGTCTATCTCCTGTTTTCAATACATTGCCAGTGTTCTAACTGTGCCAGGCCCTCTGCTGAGTTCAGGGATGCAGAGATGAAAGACCTCGATTCTTCTCTGTTTTCATAGAAGCATTATTAGCAAACCGACTCTCGGATTTACCTGAAACCTGAGACCCGGAGCTGTGAAGCAAGCCAAGTGAGGCAGGCTACAATCCCGGCCTCTGGACACTCAATTCAGATCTTTCTTCATCACATGGTGCTACCTTTCAACACCTCACCCTCCAGTCTGAACCTGGGATTGCAGACAGGGATGAGGTGAGGAGTGAGAAGGCTGACAGAAATTCAAGAAAGACTGAGGAGGAGGACACATGGTAGGGTCCACTTTCACTGCAATTGGCCAGTCCTTTCTCAGAGTTGCTCTTTTCACCTGTACCCTTCATCTACCTTACACTGTATAACTCTGCCCCCTCTCCAGCCATAGATGATTGGACCTGAAGTGAACTCCTCATCCAGGGTTCAACCTGGATGCTGGGCTGGGCTCAGCCTGAACTGATCTAGTTCTCTCTCCTGGATATTTGGAATTAGGACAGCAGAAGCTGGGTCAATTAGCCACAGGCACTGGAATTGTAAAATGATCTTAAATCAGGTCCCCTCAAAGCAGAGGGATTTATTGGGGGAGTGCTCTCATGCTATACCTGTAAGGGAGTGAGACTAGGGCAGGGGAAGATGCCACACAAAGATGTCCTTTAAGGAGAAGTTAGCTTCAGCCTGACTCCACCACGGGGAACTCCAGAGTGTGAACTGTAGCACACAGTGTATCCTGCCTTGAGGCAAGGAGGACAGACGTTCATACCCCAACCCCCCATCTGATAGTCTTTGACCAAAAAGTATGGGGCATAACGTCTCAGACATCTCCAGCAATGAAAGTCCCTATTGGCTAAGGACAATTCTCAGAAAAGTATGCAAATGTAAGCTGATATAAACTGACACCCATGGCTGCTGCAGGATGGGTGCTTCAACCTAGTAAAGAGCGGTTGGGTGGGAACCAGTGAAAGATGCTACAGGGACAGTCACTGAGGTGCTAAAGACACATTTTGGAGCAGCCATAAGGGCAGCAAAAGAGCAGAGGAAGCTGGTCTGAAAAGTGAGAAGAGAATGACATAGAAGGTCAGAGAGAAGAAGGGGTGAGAAACTACCTAGTCTGAGGGGGAGAGGGAGGAAGAGCTAGGAGAGAGAGAAAGGAGAGGGAGAAAAGGTAAGAAAAAGAAGAGAGAGGGAGGTCTGGTGTCCCAAGTCAGGTCGCCTGAGAACCAGACTCTGAGAAGCTAACGTACACACATTTATCAGGTAGTACCCTTGAGATGACACCCGGCAGGGAGAAGAAAGGAGAATTCGGCAGAGAGCAGCTGTGCTGTGGTGCAGTTCCAATAAAAGTAGCACTGTAGGGAGCCAAGACGCTCCCTCTCAGGTGTCCCAAGTTGGAGCGAGGGGCCCCACCAGGTCTTTACACCTCCATGTTGATTAGTTATTGGATGTGGGCTGAAAGAAAGAAAGGCTGTGTTTTAACCACAGCAATCCCCAAAGAGGGGAGGAAGCAGAGGCTGTCTCTGGGAGTCCTCCCAGCAGCTGGAAAAGTAAGTCTTTTATGTCTGAATAAGGATCTGAGCAGCACAACACAGCATCCACCACAAGGCGAAAGAGGGGGAGAGAAAGAGGGTGCGAGAGGGAAGCAGCCCAATTCCTAGGGATTGTCCATTTCCCGCAAATACCTCATTACATCCAATGGCACTCCCTGCCCCTGAATTCCTTGACGTACTTCAGTAGCCTTCTAGTAACAACCCTACCTCCACCATCACCACACACACACATTTGGCTTTGTTCCAGATTAGTTTGACTGGGTTTCTGTACTTGCCACACAATTATCTTCACCTAAGTCAGAATGTTTAGGCACAGTTACTGAAATGTAAATACAATGCGGAGTACTAGATATTCCCATCTCTTTTTCCTCTGCTATTCAAACTGTGTGATTTCTATTCATCTATCTTCAAGTCCACTGACTCCTCTGTCATCTCCGACCTCAAATTTCTTTAAAAGGTAATATTACTTCAGCTAGATCAGACCTGCTCAACTTTTAAAAAATATTTTAATGTTGGGGCGCCTGGGTGGCGCAGTCGGTTAAGCGTCCGACTTCAGCCAGGTCACGATCTCGCGGTCCGTGAGTTCAAGCCCCGCATCGGGCTCTGGGCTGATGGCTCAGAGCCTGGAGCCTGTTTCCGATTCTGTGTCTCCCTCTCTCTCTGCCCCTCCCCCGTTCATGCTCTGTCTCTCTCTGTCCCAAAAATAAAAAAATAAAAACGTTGAGAAAAAAAAAAAGTTTTAATGTTTAA